ATACAAGAGTTTGAAGACGTGAATTTTTCTTAAAATAGAGCTTGAGAGATTTTCAATTCGTTTCTGGTATATGCTGAAAAGTTCCGTTTCTAATTTTGCACGATCCCTTACGACAGAGAAGGCTTTTACCAGGGCAGTCTTAAAATTTTCGTAAGTATAGGTGGGACTTCCCGCTTGACCCAAGAGACTTCTGCCTATACATTTGAACCAATTAAGCGCTTGGCCCCTCAAAGCGCTGGTAGCTAAGGTGATTTTCTGGAACTCATGCACGGGATACATCATGAAGTGGTCCTCGAAATTTTCCAAAAAAACTGATTACCGGTGAGTTTCCATTAAATGTTGCTTCTGGTTTCTGGTTTCATTGATGTGCGCATAGTCTGGACGATGTAACCAAATCCTTCTAGGGCGGCAGCTGGCATTTCTGGATTCTGAGCTTTTGCAGGCAGCACAGGGTCTTCTTCAAAGTCGGCCATGGTTATTCTTCTTCGTCGGGCGCCACTATCAGGTTCAGTGTTCCTCCTTACTTGCTTCGGGAACATAACATGACCTGACTCGGAACAAGGAGCTTACTAAAGCTATGTTCAATAAATGTGGGAAGTAGACAAAACACACAGGAAGGTTATACGAAACCCTTTATTTTTCTCTCTTTACAATAATTTCCGGACTTCGGAATACAAATTCGGACCACTTGTGGTCTGACCGTAGGAATATAAAAATATTAACTAAACTCTAACTAGACTTAACTTCGGATTAATAAACAAGTGGCTACTTGAAGATTGGCCGTATATTAACAGCAAAGCAAAGGCCGTATGTAGTACAGAGAACTGTTAACACTACGATACGTTTAAAATTATCAAGAGGATTAAACCTCTGGCCTTGAAGGCAACCAGCAACCGAGTAAAATTGCTAAGGCAAGCGGCCTGCTTCTACTAACTCTTTCCTCTCTCTTGCTTGGCAAAAAGCCACAACTTAAGTACTTGCCGTTCGCAAGACAAATTTGCATAAATAATAAATAAGTTAAAGCTTTTAATTCTGGCCGGAAGTAGAAAATAAGAAGTGATAGTAAAGATTTAAAATAAAATAAACGTTAGTAAAACTTAAGATCCTTGCAATACCAGTGGCTGAAGAGAGCTGACGAGACAGGTCTGAGGCTGTACTCCGCCTGTTTCTTTTGGCAGTAACTGCCAAATATCTGTCCTCATTTGCGTTGTAACTCTGGACTTTGGGGCGACCTGTGCTCTAACGTCTACTCACATTACCATTATCTTGGAATCGTTGCCAAAGCCTGGAGATGACACTCTGGGCAATTCCAAGTTCGTCTGATACTTCCAGTTGGGTACGCCCACATTCCAGACGGCCAATAATTTTACGACGTAAAAAATCATCCAAATGCGCCCTTTGTGTCATATTGCACTGAAATGCTTATAAAGCGCCTGCGAAGAATTTTACTACTTTGCCTGTATTCCTTATATATCACTCTCTTACACTCTCGTCATTGTGACGTACCATCGGTGTCATCTGGTTACTTCCTGAAATTTTCATATGATTCTTGAAGATGTGTGTAGTGATTTTACAGGTGATATATTTATTTTAGAGTTCGATTTCCGCGTGACTCCGAATTATCCTTAATTTATGGACATGATTGTATTTAATGCTTTAAAAATTATCTTTAGTTGTTCGTAATTTTAATTTAAAAGGACAAATAACATTACTCTCAGAAGTGATAAAGTGTTGTTATTTTGCTGTAAAGCAGGATGCTCGAAAATGCGCACGCATGGTCGATTGCCAGTATTTTATAAATAGTGAATATTGTTACGAATTTTATACATAGACAGATGATTTTAGTGCAATTTTATATGAAATAGTTTTATTTTATTCCATATAATGTCTCGTGAAAAATCTGGAGGAAGGAAGCTATACTGGAAAAAGAACAATAAAGGGACAAGTTTGTTTAGTATTGATTAAATAAATGTCTGTCTTCCTAAATTGGCGAGATATCGCCAAGCTGCAACGGTTTTGGTAACTAATTGTTGTCGCCAAACCTGGCGACCGATTTTCGATATTTCTGTTCTGTCCCTGTATCACCGTACTAGGTATTGTAAGTGAATAAATCAAATTAGTCACTGTATTGGCTGTAGTCGTAACAATTAGAGGCTCCCTTCAGCCCACCTGGACACGATTGTCCCTATTGCCCAAAAGAAGGGGCCCCGGCTGTAACCAGGGCCGGATTTAAGTTATTTGAGATATGAAGCCCTTTATACTATATGTCAGTGCCAAATATGATTTTGGGATAACTACAGGGTTTTTTGGGGCCCCGAAGAAAGCGAGGGCCCTAAGGCTATAGCTTGCGTAGATTATATATAAATCCTGCACTGGCTGTAACCGTATCTAGCCATCATTTGTTTTCCAGTAATTTCGAGTAGCAGAAAGTACTGTAAATATCTCGGCGGCCAGGTGAAACCTATATAAGGTCTTGAGAGAGCATTTGCTCCTAGTTGCTATTGTTGTGAGTTGTTAGTTTAGCGTGAGTTCGGAGTAGTGAGACTTTTTCCGGTTACCTTCCTTTTTAGATGCGCTTTGCATTGCGTTGTGTTTAACACTATTAGAAGATTGAAATGTAACTACTGTGTGATACTGTGAACACTTGTACGAGTATTTCTGTGGAACGTTCCGGAACTCTGAAGTGTTTCCTTTGTTAAAATCAATTTTATGAACCATCATAGGAATTTTGTGCGTTCATTCTATTACGAACCCGTACGCACGCAACAATGTCATAGACTGAGAATAAAACTGTTTGGCGTGACTGTGACAAAACGGTGGCTTTGTCGTATCCCATTCAGGATTAATATAATTTTGAGCTTGAATTTAAGAGACTAAAAATTAAACTAAAACTAAGATTAACTAAAGATATATAGCCGAAGCTATCAAGATTCTAATCGAGTTGGCCCCTTAACTCTATCTGACTACGAAGCTTATCAAGGGCCTGAGTACGGCCGAGCGTAATAACAGCTTTGAGAGAGAGAGTAGCCAAAAGGCAGACGCGCGCAAATCAGAAACTCTGATTCTGTCTAACTCTGCAAGTAGAAATTCGCGGTTTAAATACCCCTCCTCCTCATTAAGTATTCAAAGAGTTTCCAAGACTACGTTCTGGCCGGAAGTTGAAGTTAAGAATTTGACAGGAAAGGAACTTTAACTTAAAACTTAGTTGTTAATAAAATTAACATAATCCTTACAATTAATCATTTATTAAATTTCAAGGAGAAACGCTAATTATATTTAATTTCCTTTTTGGAAACATAATTATTATTTTAAGTTTGATTTAGTTTTATTCTTTTGAACTAATTTATGTTTGATTGGTTTGCGAAAAGGAGCGCATTAAATGCAAGCTTTTTTTATTAATTATGTCATTATCACAAAGTCGATGTTTCTCCTTGTGTCTGTAACTTCATGAAAGTAATTTATGTTACTTGAATTTGATCTTCAGGATAAACAGACATAAAATCATCAAACAGAGGTAAATAAAATTTAAACTCTGTTTTATGAAGGATAATTAAGTGTTTGTAGAATTTGAAAAGTTTTCAGAACTGGTAGTGGTTAAATTAAGAAAAGATTCCGCATATATATATCCCATAAACGTATTTATATATTGTTGCGAAATGCCTGGCTGCGGTAAGAGAGCTTCGATAAATTTGGCGATATGCCATAGACGGAGCGAGAATATTCTACAACGTATTCTTAGCTGTTTTCCTCGGGAATGATCTCGAATGTAGGTTTAAGCTATATATACCTTGTCTGTACGCGGAGAAATTAGCATGTTGAGTTCAGTAGTAGAGTTTTGAGTTCAGAGACTGGCTTGAGAGCGACCGAAACGAGTTCAGAGCTGTACTTAAGTGCTTTCCCGTGAAGCTGTCTTCACCGTTGTATCCTGAAGGCTGCGTTGCTGATTTTTCAGCGTGTTTATCGTAGTTTTTCGAAGGCTGTAAATGTGCCTTTGGAACTCTCCTGTGTAATACTGGCGAATAAATTCTGATTTGATTCTTCATCAAGTGTTATCATAAATTGCTCCAAATCCACGAACCTGTAGAATGCAACAATGTAATTTTGATAGATGACTCCCTAGACACCAGAATTCTAATCTTACAATTTTCAGTTAAGTTTTCAGAAATTTAACAATTAAGTTTAAGAACAGTTTCAATCACCTAAAAATTCGGAAATCACCTAACAATTCTCCAAGTACTTCTTCGTGTGTCAGCTGGTGGTGTTGGTGTATTTAATTATGGCAAAGCACACTAGGGCTATCTGCCTAAGGGAAGGGATGCTATCGTGGAGGACTTTCTAAGGGAAACTGGCTCGTATACACGTTACACATGGGGAACCACGAAAACACCCACGCAGCCAGCCCGTTCGCGGGATTCGAACCTCGGACCGAACTACCAGTGTTCAGCGACTTTACCGCTCGGCCACTGGTGGGTGTTGAGTGTCAGCTGAATAGTTCGTTCGTAAACATGAAAACGACAGCCCAGAAGAATGAAATATTTAAGTTAGGGAAAGATACGAATTTTTATTATAATCTTACAATAAACGTGTATGCATAAATACAAAGAGCCATTTCACATTGCACATAATAATTGTGTAAGTAAACTTCATGTTTTCATTTGAAACTTTTTTCCGAAGTTCTGTATTTAATTAAAGCTCTGGTTCGATGTATGAAGACTAAAAATATTATTAATGCAAGCATCAAGACAGACAGATGCAGATTTAATACAGTTAAAACTGCGAAGATGTAAATGCTCAACTTCTAACTACATCGTAAGCGGGAAATAACCTGATCTGTGGGATTGAATTGTGCGCCTTTGTGTTTTAATAAGATCACTAAAGGTACCCATTTCATGCATTCTCACAAAAGAAATTTTTCTTGGAAAACAATTACTTTGGACACAATTTTGTATCTCGTAACACTAATGATATTCTAATACTAAAGATGCAGATAAATACCTTACCTCCAATAACTAGCCTAGCCGATGCTTGAACAGAATAAGAATCTCTGTACACAAAGCATTGGTACATTCCAGAATCTTGTCTCTTCAGCTGTCTCATTTGTATCACGTAAGAAGTAGGGTAGATTACTCTGGGATTGGTAGATAGAGGTCTCATATCCTTTCTCCAAACAACTGAGCCGACAGGACTTCCTGAGATATTGCAATTAAAAGTCGCCGTTCTTCCGACGTCCATTTGCAATTCTCTTGGAGATATTGAAACGCGGAGAGGTTCTGGAAATACATATGAGATATAACCTTACATTTAAAGACATAATATAAGAAGTCGTTTGAAATGAGATATCACTTTCGGCATGAGAAGGCAATTCACAGCAGTTTCTTTATTGAAATTTGTTAAAGTAGTTAATATATTACTGTAAATTATTCTTCTTTTTATTGAGAAACCATTTATCTTTTAGCTCTTTTGCTTGTTGAAGTCAACTAAAACTCTAATATCAAATGCTAAAAACATTGGTAGAGAAATAATTTAATTTAAATCATTTTAACAATGTAAAATTTACTTCCATGTCATTCTTATATATAAATTCAACATAACTCTTGTCATAAATATGCCATATAAAATTATTCATTTTCATAATTATATGCCATATTTATGGCAACTATTTAATTAAGAACAAATAGATGCGGCAAAACTTGTTTCGGGAAAAAGAAAGAGAATAATTTTTCCCAGTCATTATTTTCAAATGCATTAAGAGGAGTATTCCAAAATGCTTCATCTTGGTATTATAAAAGCTGTTTATAAATTATATGCTATGGTAACTTTTCGAAAAATATTTAAACTCTAAACGTTTTTTGATGCTGACATCAAAATACGTAATCGTTTTAAAAAGTTTATATTAGTTTAGAAGAAAACACAATAAGATATGATAACTTAGGATCTTTTTGCAAACAGCTATATTTTTTTAATTTAGAAAACAAATGCAAAACTCCTCATGTTCTACGAAGTATTTCACGAGGCTTAAGAGCTAAGTAAATAACTCATTAAACAAGGAGATGCAATTAAACAAGGATATACAATACTCATGAAACAAGGAGATATGATAACTTAGGATCTTTTTGCAAACAGCTATATTTTTTAAATTAAGAAAATTCAAAACTTCTCATGTTCTACGAAGTATTACACGAGGCTTAAGATCTAAGTAAATAACTCATTAAACAAGGAGATACAATTCAGCAATAAAAACATAATAGCTAGGTCTCGAGAGAGCAAAGCTATTATAATTAATTATAATTATAACAATTATAATAATTGAGGTATCATAATAAAAATACTAAAATATACCATGAGTAATTAAACTATATTAATACTTCTATGAAAGAAAATAAACTAACTTGATAATAACACTATAATAATAAAAGTGAAATAATACTTAAAAGTAATACTGATACAAAAGAAAAATGATGCATCAACAATACAATGCATCAATACATAACGAAGCATACATAAACAATACGCAAAACAATACAATGGCACATAACAGTTTAAAATCCAATCATATAAATAATAATACTAAACGTTAAAAGAGCAAATAAAGTCACGCAAGACTGCACAGGCTTCGGAGCTCCTAATAAGATCATAGAAAACAGATCAGCAAATAGAGAACTGTCCTAAACTCACTTTAAATGCACTTCTGGCACTCACATGCAACCTAGAATGCAATAAAATACATCTTCCACAGCATCGATGAAAGCACAGACTCCACTAGTAGCAATACTGAAACAATACTGAAGGCAGTAAATTAAAAAATTCCCATGACCGGTCAAAATCTGAGTAAGTTTATAAATCGGTTGAAAATGCCTACATTTAAGCCGTTGAAAACTCTTGAGAAAAATCTCTTTGTCCACTCTTCGAAGAAGTAAGGTACTTAGCATTCCAACCAACCACAGTTTTCTCCCAAGCACATGCTTCGAATAAGACTTGGGAGAGACAACACTTAATACACTCAATATCGCTATAAGTCGCTTGCTTAGCCAAACGGTCAGCTCTCTCATTGCTGACAATATCCCTGAGGTCACGAACATAAGTAAAATTAATACCTTTAAAAGTATGTGCCCTCGAGTGAATTTCCACCACCAGTTTTTCAGTCGATAATGTATCATGTATTGGAGACAGAAGAAAGTGTATATGTGCAAAAAGGTATTTAAACGTCTTATTCTTATGGCAAGAGTTTTGTATCCATTTAACGGCAACGCTTAACGACTCAGAAGCTCGGCTTCAAACACAGAACATAACATCTGGTATAATATATTAAACAGCTACATTCTCCCTGCCATCTTCATAAATAGCAAATGCAAGGCAAACCTTTCCATTTAACTACTACCGTCTATGAAACAAATAATTCTAAGTTCTTGGGAAACATTATTTTCTTTAGTAACAACTGTCACAGCTTTTCTCTCTGAGGGTTGAGGTAAATTTGAAACAGAAAGCATCCCGTTCAAAAAATAGCAAGGCTTGTCATTGCAAGTCTGTCTGTTTCTAACATCCAGATCATTTACATGCACAACTATTCATGAACAAAAATAGCTTAACTGTATTTCGCTTATACTGTTACTAGCGGAAGTACCCTATGCCAGTTAAGTTAGATTGAGATTAATGTATCTAACAGAACGATACCGATGTTATCCTCTAATAACTATGCAGAAACTACGATTCATAGTCATATATTTTTCTGTGTGATGCGATATGAAACCCACAAAAAAATTTTCGATAGGAAAACAAACTAATTCTCTCTCATTATCAGCAACAGTGGCACGCAGTTATCAATGATTTTCGTTTTTTATTTAAATCAAATGGACGTAAAAGCTGAAGTTCCATCCAATTTCACGTATATTCAATTTTAGTCGATTAAATGTGGCAAACAATTAATCATAATTGATCACAAATCAATAACGCGAACAAACAAACAAAAACACGAACATATATTCTATTATATATATATATATACTATATATATATATATATTGTAAAACTTAGAAATTTTTGATTAACAAACTCTACAATTTGAAAACGAGCAGTAGTAACTCTTTTCGAAATAAAGCATTCTTATCTCCAATGCACGTGACTGCTGCCAATCGAAAAAATGAATGCGAAATTTAGTGTTTTTCAGAGTTTTGATTAATATTTCGGCTGATTAAAGCCATACAAAGTGGCTTTAATCAGCCGAATGGGGACAGTCGAAGTGGCTTCCTAGGAGTTCTTGAAATCGGGAATAATGTAGTCAATGCCTGGCAATGCTATTTTTATTTTATAGTAAAACGTAGGAATTTTTAATTAACAAACTCTGCAATTTGAAAGCGAGCAGTGGCAACGCGCCTCAAAATAAAGCAGTTTTTTATCTCCAGCGTGAGAGACTGTTGCCACTACTACGAATGAGGGCGAAAATGAGCGTTTTCAGAGTTTTTAATTAATATCTCCGATTTAGCTTTTTCTTTTCTCGAAAGCCGTGGACGGGGATCTTTCCCTGGACCTTGAAAAGAATTGTATAAATTTTGGTGACGATAGCTACAGTAGTGACTGAGTTAATCGCGAGCAAACAAACACTCAGCAATTCTTCTTTATATAGTATATAGATTACGAAAGTATCAAAATCGTTATATTTTATAAATATTTATGATATAGAAAACATTGACAATTTTCCTGTGTATACCTGAAAACTCGCACATTTTGCTGAATAATATAAAAATATAAAGGAAATAGAAGAATATATATTTGACTTTCATTTCATGCTGAGTACTTTTTGTCATGAATTACACTGCCGACATTAGACGCATGAATTAGAAATCCATTTCTATACCTTAAAGATAGAAAATTATATTTTGCTTTATTCTTTTAAAACGAAATCTGTTTAATATAGCAACACGACGTTTTTAACACATTTATCAACCCATATCTGTCTTTGAAACCAAATTACCCTTCCTCTAGTGTCATTCTTTAGAGAACATTAATTTTCAAAACTCTAATTTAATTAAATGCGATTTGTTTATATACACTTATTTTATAGAAATGTTCATTTTATACTTATACATATAGTGTTAAATTTCTTAATTAATACTATAAGATAAAAATTCTTTACATATATACACAGGCAAAACTGACTTACTTATGAAATATAAAATAATTCTGTACTAAGCCAGCAATATTCGCTGTTAAAAATACCTTTTATCATTAATTTTAACCTATTGCAATAAAATCTATCTTAACGTTTATAAAAACCTATCAGTTGAATAATTTATAAAATAAACATATTTTAATTTATAGCATTTGGATATGTTAATATAAAAGAAAAGAGATTTAAATTATAGAATGTGAATTATTTTTGTCTCAATTTGTATGCAATCACATATTGTTAAAATCTGAACTCAAAATAAAATTTAAGGTTGTTTTAACTTATTACGACAAAGTACAGATGGTCTGTTTGCCTAAGAGAAGAAATTCCTTCGTGGAGAGTTTTTATGGGAAATCGTCCTATATTCATGGCACACATGGCGATAACCACAAAAACTCTCGTGCAGTCATTCCGTTCGCAGGCACTACAAATTAAAGATCTTATTGCAGAAGGGGAATATCCTGAAAAATGACTATGCACATTTGCCTCGGGAAACATAATTAAAGATCTTACGTTTAGGGCTTTGGGGACGATTGCAAAGACGCATCAATATCACAGTGAAGCTCAAATATTTATGAAGATTTTTTTATTTGATATAGGATGCAATATAATATAGTTTAAATTATACAAATTAAATATTTATATTGTTGGGTTTTTCTTCTTGCGTACGTACGGGTTCGTGGATCTGGAGTGAATAACGGCGACACTTGCTGAAGAATGAAAACACACTTTATTAGCCAGTACAGCTCCAAAATCACGTTTACAGTCGTCGAAGAGCTACTATAAATACGCTGAAACAATCAGCGACACAGCCTTGAAGCTACCAGGCTATAACGGTGAAGACAGCTTCTTGCAAAGCACCAGAGTACAGCTCCCAATTCAGCTCGGCCGTTCTCGGAACTCTACGTACTCTCGAGACTCTCAACACTAAAAGTCGCGATGCACTTGACGATAAACTAGAGTCCAGCGATCGACTGGGTTCGGTCGTTCTCGGAGCTCAACACACGCTAAGATAAAACTCAACGATGCACTAACTCGCGATACAACTCGACGACCATATAGGCACTAGACTTCGAGACACTCAGTCATTGACTCCACTAAGCACTA